TTGACTCTTAAATTTATAAAGAATATCTCTTTGGATTTGAGACTTTAGTCTTTGCAATTTTACAGATCTTCTTCATGCACCAAGAGCTTGTAACACTCCAAAGAGAAATGAAAAATTTAAATCGCATCATATGACCCCTTTAAATAAAACCCATTTGCAGTAGGTTTGTAAAAGCTGTTTTTATTCCTGTTTTGGCCTGAGTTTTTGTTGCATTTACACAGTTTTGACCAACAGGCATCACCAGCGTGTGGTGTTTCGAGTGCTTCGAAACAGTGAATAATTTTGCGAAGCAATTGGTTCAATTGATTCGAAGCTTCGAAAAGGTTAGTTTCTCCTATCACTAGCCAATTAGCAACACTTTTAGATTGAAGTTTAGCTTACCTGTCGAGAAGAAACTCCGCAAGTTCGTCGTTCATTTGAAATTAGTGATGGGACGATTGATACCGAGGCTCCGATGCTCCGACGCAGTTTTCAAAGCACTATTGTATCACACACTCTGCCAATGCGTGTATCGAAATGACAATACCACGTGACTGATGACGTTTGAAGCTTCGAACGTCATGCAGTATCTGAAGGACGGGACAGCTGGTTTGAAAAAAATCAGAGCTTCGCATGACTCTTGTGTTTGACTTTACATTGACTTGGTTGTGTGTGTGTGTGCGCGCGTCAGTAGAATAGTTTAGAATATGATTTTATCATGTTCTAGCTGGGGTCTCAGCTCACCCAAAATATTTTTGCTACTACTCACGTCAATTATTAATTATAATCACACACTTGTATATTTTATATTATTGATCAATATGTGAATCCATTGACCGGACTACGCATGACACGAGTTGGCACAGATTAAAAACTTTTTCAAACCATCCTGCTCCGCGATGTTTCGTTAGATAGGCTGGAGAAACCGAGTCTGACCACCAGATGTCGCTAATGAGCACTGTGTTAAAAAGCTTTGAGTAATGAATTTACGAAATTTATGAAAGTTTTTCAGCACAATTTGATGAACGCCTCAAACGGTTCAGAAAGCCTCGGTTTCCCATCACTATTTGAAGCCCAACAAATTCCTCCATCTTGTAAAAATACTGTCCGTGTTTACCCTTGTTTTAGCCTCTTGTCTCTCTCTCACTGTATTTTGGCTAGTCTTCAAATGTAGCTTGAACTTTAGCAGAAACTGAATTTCTTTTTCCACAATGGCTAAACACCCCCTGGCTCAGCCTGGCCTGCTACAGTAGCCACGCCCCAAACTCGCTGTTGGCTGCGCAGAGGTACGCAAATACATAAGTTGACAGGCAGGTAGGGCATCCTATCATTTGGTCCTGAGTAGGGCTGCACGATAAATCGCATGCGATATTTAACGCGCATCTTATCAGTAAAGCCGGTTCTGTAATCAGCGGTAAATCTCCATCACCTGCAGGCTTTCACATTGAGAAGCATTAACTACACAGAGCCGTTGTTCACTGACGAGCTGCGCAAAACCACGTTCATATTCGCGCGATTTATTGCGCAGCTTGTCAGTGAACAATGGCTCTGTGTAGTTAATGCTGCTCAATGTGAAAGCATGCAGGTGATGGAGATTTACCGCTGATTACAGAACCGGCTTTCTGACAAGATGCACATTAAATATTGCATGCAATTTATCGTGCAGCCCTAGTCCTGAGCCTTCCACAGAAGAAATATATATATATAGACTACTTTAATTACTGATTGCTATCAGGATGTGAAGAGACTTAAAGCAGCAATATGTAACTTTTGGCGCTCTAGCAGTTAATAAACAGAACTGCACACATCCCGCGGAAGAACATTCCAACCGGTGCTACTTCTCTAAGTTTATGTCTATGGCGATTCATACAGGTATGTGTTACTCCGCAGCGGTGACGACCCGACCAGCCAACAATAGTCCAAATATAAGTACTTATTATAAGTGTACCGTAGTGATTCGGAATAAGACAAAAACGCGGTTTGGAAGATGAATTCATGATGTACTCGCTCATTATATACATTTTTAAAATTTTGAACACAGAAAAAGTTAAATAGTGCTGCTTTAAGGGACTTAATGATAAAACCCTTTACTCTCTTTACCATTAAAGTACGCTGATCTGCAGCAAAATGCAATTAATTTTTGTCATTTGTGTACTGCTAGGACTCCACCACTAGGGGTAGATGCACACACAGGGTTAAAACAGACATAAATTAATGATCACAGTTTGTAAACCTGTGTTTTCTGACACTAATTCAGATCCCTTCCACTATTATTCCCATCCTCTGTTCACTTTTTGCCCCACTCACCTTTCCATGCCAGACAGCATGACATAAATGCAGATGAGATTCTTGGGAGCTTTTAAAACGTTCCTTTGACTTGTCCAAAGGCCTGCCCGAGGCCTGAACCACGAGCTCCAGCTTAAAACTGCCAGAATCCAGATACGGACAGCAGCCCGGTGATAAAGAAACTGGCAGGAGATTGAACAGTTACAGTAAAATTAGACTTCATCTTTTCATCTGATTTCCCAGTATCACTCTGCAGATGATGAACAACCTTTTTCCGAGGACAAACCAACAGAGCACCTGAGAAAATGTTGGTGTAATTTAATAATGAAGCTTTGTTCTGTCAGTTATAAAGATTTATACTGAGCTGTAGTGATAAAAATGTGCATAAATGAATCTAAAACATTTAGCATATAATGTGGATATTTTATATGTAATGCACCTAAAACTTTCCAGATGGTCATACCATTGTAAGACCCTCCGACTCTCTTCTTTCTGTCTCCATAATTGTAGAAGGTCCTTCTTAGGCGTGCAGGGTTCTCATGGAGGGGGCGGATCCATAGGAAGCAGGTTGATTCTCTCTCTGTATTAATCTCCATCAGTGTGTCATTGTGTGTGTTTGAGACAGAAAGAGAAGGGGAGGGCTGCTATAAAGGCCGGTTCCCTGTTGCTCGCTCCCATTCCTTCTATTTTTTCAGTGGGTTTGATCTGCAGGGGATACTTCAGTATGATACTCCTGTTTACAGCCACCTTTACCATCCTGGTGCTGTCCTCCCTGGACCAGGTGGAGTCTTCAGCGTATGACAAGATAGTCACGCACAGTCGCATCAGGGCTAAGAATGAAGGGTAAGGGTTGACTGTTTTAAGGGTTCACCTTTGCTGGCTGGGAACAAGGTGGTCAGTTTTGTTAACATTGTTGATGTTATCAAATGTAGAATTACTTATTGAAAATAAGTAATTCTACATAAAATAATTTTGCACCATTTCTTGGTTACTAATCAAGTATGAAAATCTGTGAAATGTACTATTTGAACTTGTGTAAATCCTGATGCTTTTTTGTCTTTCATTTAGATTATGCAGATATGTAATATTTTTAATGAAAAAAAATGTATCAGCTTGCAAAAGGAGATTAAGTTGTATTAAAATTAAAAAAAGAGAAAATACAAAAGTAGCATTTTCACTAGGAGTCTCAAACTCCCACTGTATTATATATTAAGTTTATCTTATATACAGTATGAATCTATGTTCATTTAAATAATATATTTATAAATACAAGTATGTTGTTGCAGTTTAAAAAACTATGTGCATGTAATTAAAACTGAAAAATTACATTTAAATATACAGTATGTATATGTGTGTATATATATATATATATATATATATATATATATATATATATATATATATATATATATATATATATATATCTGCAGTCTGCATCTATCTATTTTACAATTTCAGAAATCTGTCATCAACATAATTAAACAATGCTGAATATTTTAATCTATTTTATTTATTAACCATACATTTATTTCTAAACATAAATGGACTAAATAGCAATTATCACTTTGTTCAGTCAGCTATTTAAAGCAATTTGTCAGGACTTCTACATAATCACCTGCCTAACTGAACACCCTGTGGCCTGTACGTCTGTCATGTATGAAGTTATTAAGCATCCCTAGAAGGTTTTTTGTAATGTATATGCTCCCTCTGCTCTCTTTTCCAGGCCCAATGTGTGCGCTTTGCAGCAGGTCATGGGCACCAAGAAAAAGTACTTCAGCACATGCAGGAACTGGTACAACAAATCCATCTGTGGCAAAAAGGCGTAAGTCATCCATTGATTTTCACTCTGACCCTCTCTGCTTTAGCCAGGTTTCTACCCATGGTCTCTTTAAAGGTCACAGGTCACTGTGATACAGTGCCTATGGTTCTGAAGGTGAAGGAGGGTCATGTTGGTGATGGATTACATTGGTGATGGCTTGTTCGGTGCTGTAGGGTGTGTTCAGGGAAAGTGAATGAAGCAGAAGCATTTGAAGCTGTTTTGTACTCTTCATACAGATCTGTTTTGTTTTCATTGTTTTGCATTAGTAATGGTTCAAAACAGTTGGATTTTTGCCAAAAAAAGCTGGTCCACAACATAAATACTCCCTAGAGCAATATGATTTATGATACAAAAACGTATTACACTTTGGAGCTCTTCTCCCAGCTTGCAGCAGGAAGAAACAACAGTTGTCAGCCGAGTGCATCTTACTGTACTTGTTTATGGCAGATTAACCGCAGTTCATGTGCATTGACTATGACTTGACATCTGACATCTGTTTTCTCCTCAAATGCCACACTAATTTACTGCATGTTCACTGAGAGGATGATGTAAGCGTGTTTCTGGGCTCTGTGAGACCGTGATGGAGGCCTCAGGAACTGGTGACTAGTAATTGGCAGGCAAAACTTTTAAGGTTCAACTCATCCTTTCCACTGGCAGAGATCTGTTGTGTGTGTGAAAGAAAAGAGAAAAACGTCTGTGTTTGGTTGTGCAGGTTTTTTCTGTCATTCTCTTTTTTTTTTTTTTTTTTGATCTTAGGCATCTCCATATGTTCGGTTTCCATGTTTTATGGGGACATTCCATAGACGTAATGGTTTTTATACTGTACAAATTTTATTTTCTATCCTCTTCTCCTAACCCTAGCCCTCACACAAAACTTTCTGCGCTTTAGATTAAAAAAAAAATAAAATAATAATAATAATAATAATAATTTTGTATGATTTATAAGCTGTTTTCCTCATGGGACCAAAAATGTCCCCACAAGATCCAAATTTACTGGTATTACTATACTTCCCCATAATGTAGGGAATACCAGGTACACACACACTCACACACACACACGTTTTATTAGCTATCTAAATGGGGACATTACATAGACTTCTATTGTTTTTATATACAGATAGTTATACACTTTTTAACCTAAACCCACCTCTACCCCCTAACCCTACCCCTCACAGAAAACCTTCTGCATTTTTACAATTTCAAAAAACTTTGTTTACCTTATTTGTATACCAGTTTTACAAATGAGGACATCCCCAAATGGAGGTTTTGGCGATTTTGTCAGGTTTTTCTCTCTCTCTCTCGCTCGCACACACACACACACAGGTTTGTTTTTGTGAATTGTGGGGACTCTCCATAGGCGTAACGGTTTTTATACTGTACAAACCATATTTTCTATTGCCCTACACCAACCCTACACCTAAACCTACCCCTTACAGGAAACATTCTACATTTTTAGATTAAAAAAACTAATTCTGAATGATTTATAAGCCTTTTGAAATATGGGGACACTCAAAATGTCCTCAATGTCATACCCATGTCATTATACAAATTTGTGTCCTCATAAATCACAAAAACGCGCGCACACGCAAATTGATACTAGTCAAAAGTTTGGAATAATTATTTTTTTATGTTTTTGAAAGTGGTCTCTTATCTTCACAAAGTCTGCATTTATTTGACCAAAAAATATAGAATAACAGTAATTCTCACGTGTATGCTCCTGTTTGTCCTTATTTGGTTTGGTTCCTGTTCTCATTATTAGTAGTCACCTGTTCCTTGTTATTAGTTATCCTCCTCACCTGTCTGCCCCTCGTTATCTGCCCTATTTGAGTTCTAGCCCGTTCTGTTCTCCCTTGTCTGGAATCGTTGATGTCAACCTTTACTATGTGTGTTTTCCTGTTTCCCTGGATATTATTAAAGATAGTATGTTTGAATTGGACTTGGTTCGCCGCCCTAGCTCGCCTGGATCTCCCGTTCGTGGAGTATGCGTGGGAGTTCTGCGGGATCGCCGCGAGTACGGCATTAGACGATGCCATGCTCAACTCGCTGTGCTGGATCGGGGCTAATTACCATCGCCCCCGTGGACCTCCCAGACATCACTGGAGTAAGCTGGAGGGAAGGGTCCTCCGGTGCCACTGACTCAAGCCTGCTGGCCGCCGCTGACTCGGTGCTCTTGGACATGGCGCTACCTCCAGAGTTCTCGACTCCTACCCTCACCCCAGAATCCGCTCCAGAAAGTTCGTCTCCGGAGTCTCCTTCGCCTCTGCTGGTCCCGTCCAGCCCTCCTTCATCTCCTGAGTCCCCAGAGTTAGCCACCCCTGCTCCTCCAGAGCGCCCTCCAGCGCCCACTCCTCCAGAGCACCTTCCAGTGCCCGCTCCTCCAGAGCGCCCCCCAGAATTCCTAATTTTCCCCAAGAAATTTTTTGGGGGGGGGGGACATATGCCCATGGCCGAGCCGGCTAAGGTCACGGAGGATCCGCCTTGGCCTCCTGAGTCCCTTGCTCTGCCATGGCCCCCTGAGCTGCCTGCTCCGCCATGGCCCCCTGAGCTGCCTGCTCCGCCATAGCTTCCTGGTCTGCCTTCTCCACCATGGCCCCCTGAACTGCCTGCTCCGCCATGGTGCCCCGAACTGCCTGTTCCGCCATGGCCCCCCGCACTGTCCGATCCGCCATGGCCTCCCGAGTCCCCTGATCCGTCATGGCTCCTCAGACTGCCTGATCCGCCCTGGAGGCCTTCCCTGTGTCCCTGTCTTGCACCAGCCTCCAGGGCGCCCAACCCCTCCTCCCCGGTGGTATTGTTACGACGCGGGATGCGCAATCCGGGAGGGGGGAGTAATGTCACATGTATGCTCCTGTTTGTCCTTATTTGGTTTGGGTCCTGTTCTCATTATTAGTAGTCACCTGTTCCTTGTTATTAGTTATCCTCCCCACCTGTCTACCCCTCGTTATCTGCCCTACTTGAGTTCTAGCCCGTTCTGTTCTCCCTTGTCTGGAATTGTTGATGTCAACCCTTGCTACATGATTTTTGAACCCTTGCTGTTTCCCTGGATATTATTAAAGATTTTATGTTTGAATTGGACTCTGCGTCTCCTCGTTCCTCGCTCCGTGCTCCTCACAGTAGCAAACCGTGACAGTAATATTGTGAAATATGATTACAGTTTAAAATAATTGTTTTCTATTTTAATATATTTTAAAATGTAATTTATTCCTGTGATGGAAAAGCTGAATTTTTCAGTAAATGTTCAGTGAATTCTTCAGTGTCACGGGATCATTCTAATATGCTGATTTGGTTGTTATTAATTATATTTTTCTTTATAATATTTTTTATAATATTTATATTATTTACTTTATAATACTTTAGTTTTATGTTTTATCTAATGCAGTACAGTACATTCATGTATTTTAAATGTGATTGTCCAGTTGTACTATTCTACAATTTGTATGGGTGTAGTCTCAGTACATTTGGTTGTGTGTGTGTGTGTTTAATCATGCAGCAAGATGTCCAGGAATCTAAAGGACTGATTCTTCTTCATAGCTGTAGTCTTCAGACATACATTGATTTTGGAAGAGAGAAACCAAATAAAATATTCTCAGCTCCTTTTTTAAAGATTTAAATTATTTTATAACCGTTGCCTTCAGTTTAACCTTTTCATGAGAGACTTATAGAGAATTATAAAGAATTACAATGAGCCTCCTGTGAACTTTAATCAATCTCCTGTGAGATATATGATACAGCTCAATTCTCATCCTTTTTCTGCATTTCATCCTGCATATATGGCTGCTGCCTCTCTGGTCGCTATAGGAAACATGAAATCAATTTTGAATGTGTCTACTGGGAGGTCAATAATAAAAACACAAAACACCCCTGCACAGTGTCTCCCCCAGTGCCCCCTGACTAAACTCTGGGCAGCAGTAGGTCCAGAGCTGCCCAGCTTGCTGTCTCTCCTCTGGCCACATTGGGGGAAGTTTGAGTCAGACCTCTCTCAGGGGTCCTGCTGGTTTTCTTTTTCCTTCCTTAGCTGACACTGGGAACATTGTTCAGTGTCAGGGGATGAGCTCCTCCACAGCTGCAATGTCTGTGCCTCCAGACGCTATCATGATGATAAAAAAGAGCAATAGAGCGAATTTTGATCTGTGCAGTGTCAGGTGCTTGCTTCCAACCATACTGCTGTCTGACAAACAGCAGGCCTACATGGCATGATAATTCTCAAAACCACAGATCTCTCCCTAAAACCAATGAGGAACGACATTAGTCATGGGAGAGTTACATGCACGCCATCTGCAGACAGCTGTTTGAAAGCCTCTTTGCTCGCTTTTAATGTATTAGAACAGCTTTTAGGCCAGTGGCCAACATTCAAATTAGTGTTTACTCTTAATAAACATCTAAAAAGATTTTAAACTATATTTAAATGTAAATAAAATAAAAATTGTTTATACAAATCAAGATATTTAGCATGGAATGTAGATTTTGTTTTCTTTACCAGCCTTTTCCCACATACTATATGTTTGGAAGAATTATGTTGTTGTTGTTTTTGTTTTTTACTACATGGCAGTTCACTTTGATATCTCAGTTGTTTCTTCTAGACCTCATTGAGATTAAATGACGTGCAAATTGAGAAATGTTGAAAATTATTTTTTTTATCTTTTTCTTTCCATGAGGAAAAGGCTCCAAATGTGTCTCCTCTCAAGTTTCAGGAGAGACCTCTACTGGACTTAGATTTGCCAAACTACAAGTCTGGCATCAAAAGTTAAGAGATTTCAGTTTAAACTCGGGAATTTGTACTTGAAAAAAGGCTTTTTGTAAATTTGTCTGCTACTTTCTCATTTGTATCAGATTTTACATTCCCTAAGGAATATAATGAGAAACATCTAAAACAAAGTTGATACTTGCATGAAATGTAACTGAGACCACCTGAGCCACCTTTTGAGCAATAAAACTTTTCTTCTGAGAGCACCTATCAACCTGTACGCTCATGATGTGTTCAATAAACTGCTGGAACACTTCAAATTTTTCCCCACTGCATGCCAGGTCTATAGAGATACCATTACTGTTAAAAAATAAACATACTGTCAAAACCGCCCAGAGACAAGTGACCTCACATGTTGCAGACAGTATGCTTTCTCTGTCAGGGCTGGCTCAGATTTTAGTTGTTACCCTATAATATTGTTACATTTATGAGGATTGGCTAATGAGATAATACTGATCAAATATATTGATTCCAGCAGTTTGAGACAATTCAGTTTTTAAAACTGCAAAAATGTTGGGGGAAAAACACTAAATGAATAACAAAAGTCCAGATGGTTGAACAAACATGTTTCATATGAAAAAGACGCATCTAAATATTTAAAAATGAACAAGACATGCTTAAATAATTAATCACGTGAGTTTTCAGGACTTAATATGAACAAAATGTCAGTTCCTTCCATTTTATATCAATGGAACAAATTTGGTAAGAATAAAATATTTTAAATTCTATAGCTACCAAAGACAGTTATCATCTCAGCAACATCATTTGAATATTAAGTTTATGATACTGTTTTAATATTTTGACTCTTTCTATGCAGGGTGGTCTTATATGAATGCTGTCCAGGTTATATGAAGTTAGATGGGAAGCGTGGGTGCCCCGCAGGTCAGTATTCATTCATTCCATCAATAGAAATATTACGTAGTATTTTATATTTTCTTATGAGCTTGCTAGTCTGAGTGGTTGTTGGAACATTGCTATATGCTTGAGTGTTCTGAATCGTAACTATGGTAATTTTACAGTATTTTTGCCAAGCAGCATGATTTGCGGTTTCATCGTGTCTGTAGTGCGCATGCCCAAGGTTAATACATATGATTATGTTTACTGCTAAATTGTTAATCATCAACAATTATCACGCATTTGACTTCAGTTTGAGGTCATGCTTATATTAAATGTTAGGTTACTCATTGGCTACGAGTTCAGTGGAGGAGAACATTAGCTTTTGTTCTCTAAACAAAATCCAGACCCAGCTGTCTGTACTTATACATGAGTTTAATGAGCCACAACTAGTCTTGAACAAGAACTCGAGCTTCGCATCATGTGAAAGGAGCCTGAGTTTGGAATATGTACTGTTTTGTAACTCTATACTGAATCTAAACTGTGCATGAGACACTTTTGTTTATTTCTTTTCAATTTTGCTCCATCACCCAGTGGCTCCTATTGACACTGTGTACGGCACCCTGGATCTGGTGCAAGCCAAGATCACCCAACGATACTCCGATCAATCCAAACTGAGGGAAGAACTCGATGGAGCGGGATCTTATACAATGTTTGCACCCAATGACGATGCCTGGGAAGAGTTAGATCCTGTGAGTCAAATCCCTGCCACGTTATAATTCATTCGAGCTGCAGTATTTGCATGCTATGTTTAAATCGGTGATCAAATGTCCATGTTATTATTAAGTGAAGCACTGAATGGAACTTATTAAAAAGAAATAAATTGAGGAATATGCCGTCATGCCGTCTTCTTTCCCCAGTGCAAAGCTCTGACATTTTAGCGTTGATTCTCTATTTCCAGGCATCAAAAGCTGCCTTGGTCAGCAGTGGAAACACTGAGCTTTACAATGCACTCCACTATCACATGGTCAACAAACGTCTTCTCACCAAGGACCTGAAGAATGATATGACCCTAGAGTCCATGTATAACAAACAAGGCCTCTATATCAATCATTACTCAAATGGAGTATGTTTCTATTTTCTTCAAATTAATTGTGTGTATGAAACAGTGTTATTTAAGTATTATTTATGTTATAGTATTTATAAATGTTTGGAATGAGCTTGTTTTAAGATATATGTTAAGTTTTAATTTAATTTAATTCATGTTTTAGTCATTTTGTTTTGTGCTTTTGTCATTTTTATTTATTTTTTATTTTTATTTAGTTGAGCTAATTTATTTTTATTTCAGTTTTTGTTGCAGTAATTATATTAGTTTGGCTTAAGCTTATTTTGTTTTTATTTTACAAGATTTAAAATTTTATTTCAGATTTATTACATCAACAAAAATATTTTTAGTTTTAGTTAACAATTACACTTGTTTGCACCTGTAAGATTGTGCCATTACTTACCCTCATGTCTTTCCAAACCTGTAAAACTCTCCTTCATCTGTGGAGCACAAAAGATATTTAGATATATATAAAAAGAAATATAGACCAATAGAGTCCAAAACAACATTATTTGGATACCATAAAAAAACTCTTTATTTATGAATGTTTGGATGAACTATCCTCAACTACAGTTTTAAAGTCACTAAACTCTTTTTCAACAATGTTGCAGGTTGTCACTGTGAACTGTGCCAGGATCATTCATGCAAACCAGGTGGCCACTAATGGAGTTGTGCATGTCATTGATCGGATCATCAGCGTCATAAGTCAAACGATCAAGGACGTGATCGAAACCAATGATGACCTGGCTTCACTGAACGTATGTGTGATTATACCTGTGGTTTTGGAAATGAATATGACCAAAACTCTTTGGAAGCTTTCTGAATAGCCATCTATCCATCACAGATGAAAAAACATTCCTCAGCAGGGACATATGAATTCATAGAATTATCTTGGAAAACGTTTAGTTTTTTATGTCTTTTATAGACAGTTGCTTTGAGATCGGGTCTCCAGGGTCAACTGGGAGAGCCCGGACACTACACACTTTTTGCTCCAACCAACGAGGCCTTTGAAAAACTAGACAGTGATGTGCTGGAAAGACTTATGAGTGACACAACTGTACTTCAAGGTAAACATAGATCACAACCACAGAACATCATTTAGACAGTATAAAGGAAAGGATTTGTGTTGAGGTTGAAGGAGTCTTTATGCACTACAAAGATAGTAACAATACTGTTACTGTGGTTTCATCACTAAGTAAAGTTCAGTGCAAAAGTTTGGAGTCTGTAAGGTTTCTTTTTTTTTTTTGCAGAGAAAATAGTTTTATTCAGCAAATGTGCATTACATTTATCAAAAGTGACAGTAAAGGTTTTTATGTTTCCAAAGATTTCTATTTCAGATAAATTCGGTGCTTTTGAACTATATATTAAACAAAGAATCCTGAAAAAAAGAAATGTATCACTGTTTCCACAAAAATATTTAGCAGCACAACCATTTCAACAATAATAATCAGCATATTAGAATGATTTTTAAAGGATCATGTGACACTGAAGACTGGAGTAATGATGCTAAAAATTAAGCTTTGCCATCACAGGAATAAATTACATTTTAAAATATATTCAAATAGAAAGCAGTTATTTTATATTGCAATTGGTGTGGTTAGCATAAAATAATTCATTCAAAAACATTAAGTAAACTGGTCACAAACTTTTGAACGGCATTGTATGTGTGCACAAAGCATGCACAGGATGAAATAATCACCTTCAAAGATTTGAAAGACTAGTAGCCTCATGTTTTAAAGAAACTCCACAAATACAGTCCAATCCAAGCAGTGGCACATTCTCAGACGGCGGGCAAACAGCAGATCTGGCCGCAGCCACATGGAGATCCAAGTTTGGTCAAGACCTCTAATGGTTCCTGATGGGAAATGTTTAGATGCTGAATAATACTTCATCTGATTCTGGTGAAAAAGATCGTAAGTGTTGTAACAGACAAAATCTGTTTTCTCCATGAAAAGAGAAGATGGTCTCATTACAAATCTTATCTGTGTGATCTTTTAGATGACTGATATTATCATTATAGCAAAAGCATTAAAATGACCTCTATTCAAAAGCAAAGACTAGCTTTGAAGTAAACATTCAGTTCCCTTTCAGTCAGTCACGTTCTACGTTACGTCAGTCGTGACTGACGAATTGGGATCTCGCCCGAGAGCCCAGCGCGGGTATAAAAGGAGAGCGCGTGCAAACACACATCAGCTTTTCGCTTCGGAGCCGAGCCTTTTCAGGACGAATCTCCGCGAGTGTTTGGAAGAAACAGCTGGCGTTGGTGTTACGGCGCGTCAGCGGGGGTTGCCATTCAGTGCTGCTCATCTTCGGCGTGCTGCAGCTGCCATTCTGCGGTCTCGCCGCGACCTCCCCTGGGCACTTCAGCACTCTCTCTAAAAGAGTGTTTCCTTTTTTTCCTAAAAGAGCAAATGTCTAAAAGAGCTCCACGAGCGACGGGCGTCTTTTTAAAGATGGCTTCCCGCTTGTGCGTTTCTGGATGCGGTCGTTTCCTGTCTCCATCTGATGGTCATGATCGCTGCCTCTCGTGCCTGGGCTTACAGCACACTGAAGCAGCGCTCATGGATGAGTCATGTTCTCAGTGTGGGAATTAAAGGGGGGGTATCCCCCTTGCCATCCCCCACTCTAGCTCTTCCGGTTCTCGGAGGGCTACTTCGGTTCATGGTCAGGGAGACCTGAGGGTTACAGTGAGAGCTTCCCCGTCGAGTACGTCTCCGCGGGCCTCTCATTCCTCAAGCATGGCGCACCACCTGGGGTTTCCAGACGAGTGTGCTGGGCCTTCGAACAGGGCGGGGTCCAGCATCTTGTGTGGGACACAGGCAGAGGACAGGATGTCGATCGTTGCATCGGAGGGCGAGCTAAGCTCTGAAGATGAGGATTCGGCTGCGCTGCCACCGTCAGGTAGAGTGGCGTTGCCCGAGTCAGATCCAGAGCTGTATGCTTTCCTAGGCCGCCGAGAGTGTTGGGCTGCACTGGAGGCCTCCTCCTTCTCCCGAACGCTCGAGGCTGGATGATTGGTTCCTGGGGGCGCAGGCCGGGCATCGGCAGCCGCCTCCGGTTCCATTTTTCCCGGAAGTGCATGAGGAGGGTACAAAGTCTTGGAAGGCACCTTTTTCTGCCCGAAACAGACTTGGTGCCTCCTCCGTCCTCACCACCCTCGACGGGGGGGCGGCCCAAGGGTATGTGGACATCCCTCCGGTCGAGCGCGCGATTGCCATGCAGCTCTGCCCGCA